CTCTCTCCAGGTCGGTGGGGGGTTTTCTTCCCCTCCTAGCCTTGGAGCCGCTGCGGGCCTCGCGCCGCAGGGTTTCTCCAGCGGTGTGGCACAGAGTGTTGCCGCTCTGCAGCACCCATTCGTCACCCTTCCTCTCAGCGGTGGCGCCGCCAGGAAGTCCAAGACCAAGGTAGCGGGATCACGGGGGAGCGGCGGCGCGCGGACATTGCTTCCGAGTAACCGTGGTCTGTCCAAGATCGACGTGTTTAACGGCGCTCTCCAGGACGCCCAGCAGCACCTCCAGCCCGTGGCGGGCGGCCCTACTTGCGAAAAATGCAAGGCCGCGGGCAGGAACGCCAACCACAATCACAAGACTTGTGCGTTCGCCATATGCTCCAATTGTCGGCGTGCCGGACACCGGTCCAATGGTTGCCCTTATTAAGTTGCGTGGACTCTGCCTTTCGTCTTCCCGTCCCGAGTAGGCGTGTGCAGTGAGTGAGGGGGCCGGGTGCCGTTTGTTCNCTTGTTCGCTTGTTACAGGGTTCCCTCAGACTTTATCGTTTCCGTTTGGGTCTCTATGATCCTTTGTCGACACCTGGCTTGCTACCTCCGTTTCCCTAATGATGAATATCCTAAGTTTGTCGATCGTTTTAGCGTTGCTCTTACCAAAATACGGCTGGGGTCTGCCTTTGGTGGACACAAAGTTCCATTGGCTTGCCGGTGGGTGTTTCGTCTCTTAGGGACCTTTCTTCTTGCCTACTGCCTGATGCCCTTACGTTCTTTGGGTTCCGTATTCTTGCCTCGTACCTGGTGTTGTTCGCGGATAATATACACAACACCTCACCTCACCCGCATCGCATGCAGCACCGTGATCGGTATCCCTCCAGACTAGGGAATGTTTGAGAGCCCGTCACTGGCTGTCTTGAATTCTATGTACCTTGTGCCTCATGCATATCTACATGGTCATTCGGCGGTACCCCCTTTTCCTTTGGGATTGCGTGGCCCACGTGCACACTACACAAACACATCCCGTTCGTTGGTGCATTTCCCTTGGGGGTTGCGTGCCCAACGCGCACATCACACACCCACCTAACTATAAGTAGTGAGGGTTTGGGTTGTTTTAAGAAATACCACATGGTCACTTACCGACTTACTTCACCTCTCGCGTGCTGACGTACCTCGTGGTGCACGCCCAACTAACACCAATACAAGTTCGCCGTAGCTAGCAATCCCGTCTGTGAGTAGGTAGACTTACATTTGGATAAGCCCGGCGAGACGTTGTGTTAGTTGGTCCGTGCGCTGTCATGTTTTCTCGACGGTACGCCTGGATACACAGCATCGAATCGACGTTTGCTTCGTAACGTAATTTCAAACGCGGCTATACAAATTGGGCCGCGAAAAGAAATATATATATCATGCTGTGGGCCTTTATTTGTTGATGGGAACCCGTGCTGTCAGTTCTTCGCGCCCGGGTTTTTCCTCTTCCAAAAAAAAAAAAAAAACAGGGGGGGAGGGGGACACCACCGCCCCTTTTGTCTTGTCGCATGTTCAATGCTCTCGATAGACACTTCCCGGGTTGGTTCGAAATTCGAAATCGTTGTCTTTGTCGCCCCACTCCGAACTGTTCTTTACACTTGACTCACGGGTAGGTTGCAGCAGAGGATTGGCTGCGGGCGCTTGACCTCCGCCACAAAAATGTGGAGTGGATCATGCCCCCGGCCCCCCTCTTGCCGCCAGAAGAGTCCGAGTGGGCGCAAGTGGGCGCCTTTCCCACGGCCTCTCGCGGGTTCCCTACTTTGGACGAGGTCACGCGGGACCCGATGGAAGGCGAATTGCGCCGCTTGCCATGGCAGGCTCCCGTGTGGGATTCCAAAGGTTTCGCGCCAGGCTTCGTGCGAGCTCATGCTGGATTCTGGGAGGACTACATCCTCCGTGATCATCCCTTACGTGATACGTTGACTTCGTACATCCGGGATGGCGTAGACCTGTATGACCTCCTGCTTCCCAAATTCAGAGGCGAGTCGCCGTCTCTCCCCTACAATGTTGATCATTTCCCGCAGCGTATTTTCTCCAACCACCGTTGGCCGCCGAAATTTGACAGCTTTGTCGACGCGGAAATGCAATCCCTGCTCGCCAGAGGTTGCATTTCACGGTGGGCTGATGTCAAGAGCTCCACCGGTCCGGTGCGTCCTCGCATGATCATGGCTTTGTCGGTGGAGACGTCCAAACCGCGTCTTATCTATGACGCTCGACCGCTCAATAGCTGCACACGGAAAATACCTTTCGCCATGGACACGGTAGCGCGCGTGGCTAGCGTCGCGTCGTCGGGATGCTACATGACGTCACTCGACGACTCCTCGGCGTTTCATCATGTTCTTCTGCGGCCATCGTCATGGCCTCTCTTCGGCTTATCCTACAAGGGCGTCGACTACTGCTGGTGCGTCCTCCCGTTCGGATTCAGCCTCAGCCCGTACGTCTACCATACGCTCAGCGAAGCCAAGGCGGCCTTTCAGCGGTCCAAAGGCGCCCCTTCTCTCGCATACCTCGATGATTCTTGGCGGAGCAATTTTCTGGCCACATATGGTCGGCCGGCGCAAGATCAGTGGTTGGCGGCCGGGGAAGCGACCCACGTCGCCATGCTGACTTCGCTCTTCTGCGGACAGTTCCTGTCACTCAAGAAGTGCGAGCTTCGACCCGTCACAGCAATACAATACCTCGGCATCATCTGTGATTCGGAGACGATGACCTTCCGGATCCCCCAAGAGAAGCTGGACAAGCTGCATGGCTTACTGCGAACAGCTCTGGCCGATGGGAGCGTGTCCTACCGAACGCTGCAACGCGTTGCGGGCAAGTGCATGAGCATGACCGTGGCGATCCGGCCGGCGTCGCTTTGGACGCATGCCATGTTTGCCGTCCTTTCCGCGATGGACAAAACCAACCAGCGCCAGGTCGATTTGGCACGTGATGCTTACGCGGATCTACGGCAAGAGTTCCAGAAGTGGCTATCGCTGACGGCTTCTTCGCACGAAGGGCCGTGGCAGCGAGCGAGCCACCTCATCGTCACCATCGACGGATCATCGGACGCGTCTTCCCTTGGCTGGGGTGGTGCTATCAACATTGAAGGAGCTCAATACCACGCAGGTGGCGTGTTCCCCGACGATTGGCTACGCAAACATATCAACAAGAAGGAGATGTTTGCGTTATACCACTTGTTGCGCCTCTTCTGTGCGCGTTTTCCGGCTTCGTTGCAGCGAGCACACGTGCTCATCGACGTCGACAACACCGCGGTGTGTGGATCTTTCAACAGGGGGCGGGCGCGCGACCCGGAAACGCATGCACTTCTTGTTCGTTTGTTCGAGCTACAAGTCGAGTATGAGTTTATGCTGTCCCTGCAATGGGTCCCGTCGGCTGCCAATGTCGTCGCTGATGATATCTCCCGCCCTTCGCGTGAGGGCATCATCAGGCTCAACCCGGCGGCCTTCCAGGCTCTCTGGGAGGACATGGGGCCGTTTACTATCGACCTCATGGCCTCCGACACTTCGGCTCAGCGTATTCCGGGGTCGGACGTTGTTCTGCCGTTTTTCTCGCGCTATGATTGCGAGGGTTCATCGGGTGTAGATGTCTTCGCCCAAGACGTGTCTTTGCATCCACGTACTCAGGATCGAGCTTTCGGCTATTGTTTCCCGCCTCCGGTGATGGCGGGCCACGTAGTGCAACACCTGGCGGAGTGCCACGCGCATGCGGTTATTGTTGTGCCGGGTTCTAAGTCTTACTGGTTCTCTCGGGTGCAGCAGGGGGCAGTGCGGTCTCGGCTGATTTCCCCGCCTAGTGCGGGGGGATATTTTCAGTGGCCATGCACAGACGGGTCCCTGAAAGAGTGGAGGTACCCAAGGTGGTCTATGGTAGCTTACGAGGTTGAGTTTACTTCCTTGTCTTAGGTGCTGCCGCTCTCACAACAAATAAATAAATACTTATATATGTACATATATATCGACAAAGTATGTATCTTTTATTGACACCGGTACCCTGTTGCTGCAGCATGCGGCTCTCATCCATCTCGTCCAGTTGTCCCCCCTTTGGCTTGTGGATGGCTTGTGCTTCGTATCACAGGTCCCCACCCTACCTCCAGGCGGCTGTGTCCAGTTTGTAGCGTGTTCGTCGTGCCAGACGGAAAACGTGGGACATTACAACTATTGTTGGTCCTGCGGTGTTCAGCCTGCCCGCGGGCGTCCGGTCCCGCGTGACCCTCAAGCGGCTCCGGTGTCCATCGATTTCGATGCGTTGCGCGCGCGTAGTGATCAGGTCCTCTCTGCCGCGTCTAACCGTCGTGCTCAACAACGCAAGTGCGCTGTAGCGGACGGGTTCGACGCTTTCATACTCTCGGCGACTGAACAACGTCGGGGTTGGAAGCAGGCTTCGGACCGAGACGTGTTTGACTATCTCTGCTTCTTGGACACACAAGGTAGTGGTACCAAGTGGGTGCACGACAGGGCATGCCCTGGCGTCGGCGCAACTCACGGCCGCGATTGCCTTCCAAACTCGACATGTGCAAAGCGGTATGCTGCCGCGTCCATGCAGAAAGGGATCGTGTCCAAGCTGAAGATGGCGATGCAAGAACAATTGGGGAAAGAAAGAAGCTGGGACCCTGCCACGCGCTCGGGCAACCCGTGTAGTAGTCCTCTCGTCGACTCCTACCTCGTCTTCACGGGGGAGGAGCAAAAACGTGTGGGTGTCGCTGTCAACCAGGCAGAGGCTATGTTACCGCACGTCCTCATCGATTTGTTGAGGGACATGCGCTCTCGCGCGCAGACTGCGTCCTCTTTGGCGGAGCGTATTGAGCTCACCAGGGACGTCGCTTTGTTTTCACTGGCGTTCGCCCCCATGCGGCGAGGCCATGACCTCTCCTTCACTATGGGATCGCAAGTCCTGCAGTTGCCCGCGGGGCAGGGTCTGATTTTCAACTTCCAGTTTGGCAAGACTCTCCGCGACTCTGTCGATGCCGTTGTCGTGAGTCCCGACGTCGCCTGTCCGTCTATTTGTGCGGTGAGCAACGTTACGGGCTACATCAGTGCGGCGGAGCGTATTGGCTGGGACTTGTCCCAAGGGCATTTGTTTCCGGTCGTCCTGCTGGACGGAACTCGGGATATTTGCGAGCGGCGGGACTACCGCACCGCTACACTATGCACTCGTTCCGCGTCGGAGGTTCTGTTGCGCACTCGCTTGACGGAACGGCGATGGACGCTATCATGAAAATTGCCGGGTGGCGTACGGAGAGTGTAGCGAAGCGGTATGTTGGCGCCACTACTAGTGTGGGTGCAACGGGTTCCAAGAGGGTCCGTAGCGAGCTGTACGCAGACTCAAACGCGTTGCCGTTGTCAGCTAACTTCACATGCGACTTCTCCGCGTGTGCTCGCCGCGGAACATAAAAGAAAGTTTGGGTGGGCGAGACCTAGCTTAGGGGCGTGAGTGGTCAATAACTAAGATGTGGCAGATCGGATAATCAGCAAGAAAGTAATGGGCGGGACCACAGGCCGGCGCAGGAGGCCTCACCCAACCAAATCCAATACTTATATTGAATGATCTGGGTAAGGGATAAGAATACAACAGTAATCTCGGATTTGAGACGCATCTAGATCTCGGAACGAAATCGGGAAGAGTCAGATATTCCAGAAAGGATGTTGGAAAATGACCCCACCTAGTTCAGTCCCCTGTTTCTATCCCGAAATACGCCGGAGCAGAGAAGAAGGGAGATATTTGAGACCATCCCACCCGCCCTACACAATGCTTATATATTCATGAACTTACTGATCATTCACACACTTTGGGCCAGGGCACCCCCCCAGCCCAAAGGGTTACTTGTGGCGAGGCCCTCCTGCAGGCCGGCGCAGGAGGCCTCACCCAACCAAATCCAATACTTATATTGAATGATCTGGGTAAGGGATAAGAATACAACAG